CCGATCCCAACTCATGGAGCAATTCATTATTCTTAGGTTTGTTCGAGTTGGCGAGCGTCAGTGAAGGTGACTCACACAAGCCTGGACTATCCATAAGTTGGGAACTAGGCAAAAAACAATTCCTTAATTTTATCTTGTGCAATTCACTGTGCTTTTTCTTATCAATAGCAACAATTGTGGTTGTAGCATTGACTGAAATCTTCCTGTGGGACTGGCAATCTACTTCACTTCTTTTGTTGCCTATGATGTGCATTCTCTTGCTAATTGCTGCAGCAGAGTTTGTATTTGGGGTGGCTATAGTTACCGATACAAGCGTTGCAAATGTATTTCCACTTCGAGCTTTGATTTTGGTTGTAATCCTACTGAACATAACATGGCAGCTTGCTTGGACCTACCAATATCTCCGGAAAAGGTTACAGAGGTGAGTAGAGCCATTTACTGACCATAACCATTACGTTCATATTATCCATGTTTTTTCTAGCTCTAGTTTTTGTGTTTCTGGATGCTAATTTTATCTAAATGTTCTTTGCAGATTACGCCGCAACGAAGAGGGGAGAGGAGCATGAACGAATTGAATCAGAAAAGCAATGCTAATGATGTCCTGCATGACGAGATCTGATTGAATGTTAATGTTCAGGATTAAGAACTTGATTTTCTTGTAACACCAATTTGATTTTGAATGACAAGCTACTTTACATGTCTGAGGCATGTCTTGTTTTGCTTTGAAAAAGAAACGAAAGCATGGAAGACTAGTTTGGTTTTTGCTGGTAGGTTATCATCATTTTAACGGTGCAGGATATCTATGGTTGGATCAAGGCTTGCAGTTGATAGAGATGAGTGAGGAAGAACGCTTCTAATCCTAGTTTAAAAGAAACAAAATGAAAACTAAGCACATAATCCAAAAGGAAAAAATTCAACTCATAACTGTAGCCACCTCCGAATGCCAATGATTTACCCTTGAATAATAGTTTCATTGATGGGCTTACAGGCGCTGGATTAAATAGACGGATAAATTTCCTAGATGAAACCATCTGAGGATCTTCTTTATTGGTTTTTCCTTCTTCTGGGAGGACCAACAATGGCACCATCATTTTAAATAGAAGATGATTTTGAATCGAATATGTGATGCATCCATAAGATGTCCAATTTCTGCATCCTGACAAGGAGGTGGAAATTTCTTGCTTTTGCTTTTAGAATATGTTTGGTATTGCGATAGCTATTGTGGTTATGGTTTTAAAAAAAATTATTTTATAAAAAATACTTTTAGTTAAGATTGATTTGAAAAAATAGGTATTTGATTAAAACTGTAGTTGAAATTGAGATTAAAAAAAAATAATTTAATATATTCGGTTAAAAATGTTTTTGAAATTAAAGTTATAAAATAATTTTAAAAAATATATATTAATATTGATGGTTTTAAATTTAAATATTGTAGAATTAATTACTCTTATTACATCATGAAATAAATAATATTTTATATAAAATATTATTT